GCCAAAATTAAGACTTCTGCCCAGCAGCAGGAGGCTATATCAATTCCGAAGCAAACTACTGACCTCATTAATGATAAGCTGGTGCCGGTAACTGAGAGCCTGGCGCTGCTTACTGAGGAATAGCACCTTTACCGGCGCTACTACTAGATACGCTAGGGACTAGCAGCCGTCGGCTGGTCGTTGACTGGTTCACACACTCCTTCTGCTGTCTATTAGCATGGATAGGCTAGCCATTAGCGTGCCTAGGCTGGCCACTAGCTGACTAATGACTCTCCGAGTCATGCTAATGGCTAGCCTCTCCGATGCTAATGCCAGCCTATCCATGCTAATGGTCTGTCAAGGGGGTAGGAAATCCAGCTAGTGGCATGCCTTGGCACACTAATGGCTAGCCTCTCCAATGCTAACACCAGCTCGCCCAGGCTAACGCTAGCCTATCCATGCTAATAGACAGTAGAAGGAGTGTTTGAACCAGTCAATGACCAGCCGAGGGCTGCTAGTCCCTAGCGTATCTAGTAATAACGCCGGTAAAGGTGCTATTCCTCAGTAAGCAGCGCCAGCCTCTCAGTTACCGGCGCCAGCTTATCATTAATCAGGTTGGTAGTTTGCTTCAGAATTTACATAGCCTCCTGCTGCTGGGCAGTAGTCTTAATTTTGGCCCCCATACCGCGCCATTTTGGGCAAGCAAGCGGGGTGCACCTTGGATAGGTCGCCAGAACGTCGCAGGGCAACACAGACAGGACAAACAACCAAGCACACACACTCATACCCAAGAGAAACTGTAGAGAACCAGCCGAGAACCCACGTGTGCACGGGGGCAACAGAGGGCGGAAAAATCTCCGGCTGGGATGAACTCAGGACCTTCTTGCTGCAAGGCAACAGCGCTAACCAGTTTTCCCACAGTAACACAGAAATGTAACACGTGGGTTTAAAGCCTCCATTTGTAACCTGTAGTTGGTCACGTGGGCAGTTTGACCCACCACAGGAGTTTTAATAACACTGAGATTCTTCTCAAGCACGGCCATCGCACCCGGGGGGGACGTGGGTGTTTTAACAGCCACGCTTTTCTATGAGGAGGTTAAACACCGCACCTTTCCCGCAGTTTAGCTCAAAACCAGTCCGGTCCCCCTCCCCCTTCTGCTGCTAACTGAAACCCGCACCTCTACGCTCCGACGTTACGTCTGTATTCCTGTTGGTTTTGTTGTTGAAACACGTTTCCCCACCTCTCCGCACCGCCTAAGCCAGGGGTCGGCAACCTGTTCCCATCAAAGAGCCATTATTACCCGTTTCCCACAGTAAAGAAAACACTGGGAGCCACAGCAGCCGCGGCGTTGTGGGCGGGGCCTACCCTCAGACAGCAGAGCGCTGCTCACAACAGGTGACAGCAGCCGGTACCGGTCGCTCGTGTACGTCAAAGCTATATTTCATAAGACGATAATCAATAAAACGATTTATATAAAGTGGATCCAGAAGTTGTAGCCCGTCTCTGCTACAATATTTAGATATGTTTCACCCTGTTGGTGGTTTACTGAGCAGGTGCCACTTTTGTCATACGTTTCTTTTTAAAACATGTTTAGACTGTTCAGAATACAAATCCAGGCTCTGTCACGTTTGATTGTTGTAATTAAACTTTGTAGGTGGGGAAGGTCAGAAAAGGATCCGATCATTTTGTTTTTCCCTCATTTACAGTGACGGAGATAACTGAGCAGTGCGCCTGGCTCTGGTGTTAATCAAGTTAAAATATATCTCTTTGCAACAATTTTCACAAGAAAACAGAACAGTTAAAAGCAGGGCTTGTGTTGACCGGACAGTTCCCGTATTTGGCCGTTTATTTTGACGGAGAAAGAATAGAAAGAATTACCCCGACGCATGCAGACGAACTGACACTTTATTCTACGCACATCGCAGATGTAGCTAAATCACTCAAGAAAAGATTCCCATCTGAACATCTGAGCTGGACTCTGCTCAGCGCAGCTCGCTCTCAGTGCGTACGTACGGCGCACAGCGAGCTGAAGATGTGGAGAGGGGCTTGGAGCACGTCGCAGAACCAGAGCGCATGCGGGAAGATTCCTCCGACTGAAGCGAGACTTGTCACTTAGAAAATGTTCCCTGATGATGAAACTTTGGCTGAATAGCGCTTGTTCCTGTCTCCAATGTGGCGACACATCCAGGATCCGTCTGAGGAGAAGCCCAAAATCTCACATCCTCATCAGCTCAGGAAGCGCCTATGATTACGCACAAGCGTGACGCGTCAACCCGGTCTCACAGTAAGACCGGGTTGGAACTGTTCAGGTTTACGCAGACGATCTTTACATTTAGAATTGGCATACAGATGTAAAATTAATGCAGTAAAATATAAAGCTTTTTATTTAAATATCCATTCATTATTTTACAAGCAGAGCCGCAGGTTGCCGACCCCTGGCCTAAGCGGTAAAAACAAGCGTGCTCATCACAATCTCGCTCCCGCGGTGCGCTCTGGTTTAGGTTTTCTATGATCTAAGTTGTGTTTATTCATCCAACAGCGGGCGGAACCAGGACCAGCTGGGGAATTCCTGGTGGCCTGGTTTGAGTTTGTTTGTTTTTTTCGGGCCGGTGTTACTCTGTAGATCACCTGCTGCTGATGAGCAGGAACAGGTGAGCTGCTGCCAACCCTAACCCAACTAGCTTCTGTCCCTAGAAACGCGTCCTAGCCCAGACTGTAGCGACCTGTTATTTATAATTTTATCATTAGTATTAAGTGAACGCACTAAACCCACAGGTGATGGAGAATAAGATTAAATAAGCCTGAATATTTCCTCCCACAGCTCAGCTCTGTTTAAGCAGATGTCTGCTTCAGCCGGACAACATCAAGTATAAAAGCATTCACAGATCTTTTCTAAGGTTTGGATGTCTGTGAGCATTACTGAATGTTCCAATTGGTGTAAATAATACACGGTATTATTAATAACAGGTCTGGATGTGGTTCGGTCTGAGGTCTAAAACCGCCCTGGGCCTAAAGCCCTGCAGATACATTTAGTTTCTATAAAAAACAACAAATAAACAACAGCAGCAGGATTCTACTTTGTTCCTTAAATTGAGTCACGTAGTTTAGCAAGTTCTGCAGCTCACACGTTCACCAGCAGCTCTGCCAGCGGATTGGTTCTTTAGTAACTAGTGACATCATACAGGTGTGGTACTGAACAGCATGGATGCATCAGAGGATTTTGCTGTAGTTGGTGTTCATGATGGATTAAAGACAGGACAGGATGTATAATCCATCACATATAATATTATAATACCATCAACATGTAGAGATACTTTCTCACCAGCCTGTAATTCTGCTTTATTTCTCAAAATGCACCAAACTGATGCTTTTACATATAATAATAATAATAATAATAATAATAATAATGCATTGAACTTATATAGCACTTTTCAAGACACCCAAAGACGCTTTCACACACTCTCACATTCACACACTGCTAGTGATGGTGAGCTACTTGTAGCCACAGCCGCCCTGGGGAGGTCTGACAGAGGCGCGGCTGCCATTTGGCGCCGTCGGCCCCTCTGACCACCACTAACACAGGCAAGTTGGGTGAAGTGTCTTGCCCAAGGACACAACAGTGGAATACCCCTGGCGGGAGCTGGAATCGAACCCCTGACCCTCCGATCATGAGGCAACCCGCTCTACCTCCTGAGCTCCTGCTGCCCCGAAGATATAAGATGTCCAAATTTCTACCAGGGGGCGTGTCCCCGGACCCCCTACAGTAGTTTAATACTCGTCATCTTTTTCATGTCTGCTCTTTGGTGCTAGTGCACACCTTGTGGTGGAATAAGAACTGTACACACACACACACACACACACACACACACACACACACACACACACACACACACACACACACACACACACACACACACACACACACACACACACGTATATGAGAAATCTCAACGCCCCTATTCTCAAGCACAGCTTCACTGATGTTAAACAAACACCTCTGGGGTTTGAGCAGCTTTCCAGAGGAACCCAAACCTTCATGAATCAGGCTTTCTGGCAGAAATCAGCAGTCTGACCATCCCTTCCTGGTGGACCAGGCTGAGTGAGGACTAAAGCAGCTCCTCATCCAGGGCTGCACAGATGTAGGCAGAACCACTCGGGTTGGGAGAAGATTCTGGTCCGAGTCGTGTTCTGGAGCATCATGTGTGCGATGGGAGGCGCTGGCTGGTCCCTCACTGACCTACATCTACATGCACAACAACAGGGGGTGCCTAGGTCTCCACGGCACCGGGCCGAAGCTGCTCCAACTTACCCAGCTTTTCCCGGGACTCCTCCAGCTTCTGGATCTGGTTCTCCAGGAAGAACATGGCCACTGCGAACGCCAGAAGCGCCAGGAGCTGCAACTTGGGCGGCATAATGAGTCTGAGCAGCCCCATCAAATCATCCAGAGGAGGTCTCGGGTCAGTCCATGCTCGGAGGGGACGCGGCGACCACCGTGACTACAAAGCGGCTGGCTCTCTGAGCATGGCCCTGTCTCGCGCGCTAGATATCCGTCTGTCTTCAGGTTCTCCAGTTACCACAAATGGGATCTGTCCATGATTAATGACTGCTTCCGGACAGTGACGCGTCGTAAAGCCCAGGAGATGTCCCTCCGGAGATAGGACCTGTCCCTCCGGGAGGAGGAGACGTTGCTGCCAGCCGCCGTCGCCACAGTCCTGTGGTGTGGAGCTGTCTCGTCGTCCCGTTCCCTGCCGAACCACGAACCAACCGTCAGTGGCGATCTGGCCATTGGACGGATCACGCGTCCACCGCGGATGTGGGGGTTTCTATTCGTCCGTACATCACCGCCTGCTCCATCCGGATTGGACGGTTTCCCTCAGTGATTTAAAGCGGACAGCAGAGGGCGCTGTCGTTCACCTCGAGGATACTTGAGGCGATGAAGAATTTTTAGGAAGCCCTCGTTTGCGCCAGAACAAAAAACTAAAATAAATAGTAAGCTGGCAAAGTAACATTATTTCTTTAAACCCGCAATATCCGATTATGTTGAGTCAGTAATCTGGAAAAACGCGAAAACGAAACGTTGTAGTTTCTGCTCATTTACGTTCGGGCGAAATTAAAGTCCCCTTAGTGAAAGTTAAAAAGGTCCTTTTGTAGTTTTGCTAACAGAGCGGGCTGTAAAATGTCGGGAGAAGTCTATCTACTGTGGCTTCTTTCGCTGCTAAAGACGGTGAGTTGATTTAACGTCAAAATGACCGACTTTACTCCCAGAAAAACGTCGTTGTAACCGACTTTCGGCCCTGCTGTGGTTCGTGTTCCGTGTTCTAATCCGCGTCCTGGTCCTGGAGCGGCTCGTAAATGACGTGGCTCGTCCTGATGCGAATCAAGCTTTTAAAGTGTTACACGTTTGACCGAATGATCGAAACTCCTAACGAAACATCTGCACGTGAGCTTTAACGCGGATAGGCGATGATCGAAACCGAGTCCCTGCGGTGAGGCGGTGATTTCTGCTAGAACCGGCTAGAACCCGTTCTTTATGGGTTCCACGTCGGTTCACCAGTGTCTCTATTCAGCTTGTGGGCTTTATTCATCACCGATATGTGATTTATAATTAAAGCCTACGTTGTCTCACATTTCGAACACCTTTATGCACGTTACTGTGGTTCTAACAACAGGAAGCGTTAATCTGATGAATGAATGACTGATGAGAGCTTCTTTGGCTCCTGTCTGTCTCCAGCTGTCGGTGTACGGGGCCGAGGTGACCTCCGAGGCCTGCAGGGAGCTGGGCTTCTCCAGCAACCTGCTGTGCAGCTCCTGTGACCTGCTGGGAGAGTTCAGCCTCACCAAACTGCAGCCAACCTGTCAGCGGTGCTGCCAGCAGGAGGCTCAGGTGGAAGCACGCAAGGTAAGTGTGTGTGTGTGTGTGTGTGTGTGTGTGTGTGTGTGTGTGTGTGTGTGTGTGTGTGTGTGTGTGTGTCGTACAAACTGAAGCTGCAGCTTCATCTTAAGAAGACAGACTCCTAACAGGATGGCTATTTCACACGGGGGACTTTCTGTCCCACTAGGTCACATCCTTCAGCCTTCAGCCTGTAGACATCTGCTGAAAGCCCCCCATCGGTGGGTTTGTTGACACTTCGCAGCTGTGAATCAGGTCTGTGCCCTTTTGTCAGAGCTGCTCTCTCTGACCCTGGGGTGGGGGGTAAAAAACAAGGTCCAGGGATGGAAAAAGGACATTTTTCTCGTTTGATTTCAGTTAGTCCCCCTAAGTGGTATCCTAGCGCCACACTGAGCTTATGTAGGGGAAACACTGGTTGTCACAAACCCAGGGGTAAAATTTGATGCTGCTCTCAGGTTTGATGCACAAATTTTGACCTACGACTAAGCCAAGCTACGCTAAGATCAAGCCAATGCTGTCGAGGGCTCGTTCAGAAACCGTTTTACGTGCATTCTTATTGCCACGCCTTCACTATTGTAATGCTGTGTTTGCTGGTGTGAGCTCAGGTGCACTTGCTCACTTGTCCCGAACTCAGTGGCGAGATTGTTGTCTGGTACTAGGAGGAGGGGGCATATCAGTCCTGTATTTGCCCAACTTCACTGGCTCCCAGTTGAGTATCGGGTTAAGTTAAAAACCCTGCTGTGGGTGTATAAGGCCCTACGGGGCACTGCTCCATAGATACACCCCCTCAAGGGCCTTGCATTTCCTAGACAGGGAACCCTTGGAAGTGCCATGCCCTAGATACAAACCTAGGGGTGATTGTGCATTCTCGGTGGTGGCCCCAAGCTCATGGGACGCGTTGCCTTTGCTTGTGAGGAAGGCACCATCCCTCCAGTCTTTTAGGTCTCTTGTAAAGGCCTTGTGTGTGAAATCCACAGAAATCGTGGTAAAAAGATTTGACTCTTTAGCACCACACAGTTTAGAGTATGTATTGCATCTACGGGAGCCCCCGAGGGTCAAAAAAGGAAGTTTTCTTTCTTCATTTTTTAAAAACTTTTTTAACAAACAGAACAAATACAAGACAAAATAGATGGAAAGGGCAGTGTGTCATCATCTACACACCTTCATCAACGTCCTTTTCCCATTGAGTCACAAGTCAGACTTGGTTTTATTGTGATTTTAGTCTTTTATTGTTTTGCATTTGTTTTGAAGTTAACTTTTATTATTACTTATTTTACCTTTTTTATTGTCTGAGTGTTTTGTTTTGATATTCTTTTACTTAGCTTCGTTTTTTTATCGTGAACGTGTACAGCACCTTGGGTCCTGCAAAGGTAGTGGAAGGTGTTATAGAAATAAATGATGATCATGAGTAAGAACTGGATTAAAGCAGTAAAACTGGACAGCGCCATACTGGCCCATTAAGTTGTCCGACCGGTGCGGCACAGGGGCGGGAAGAAGGCCCTAGCACTAGCTAACGGCACGCGGGAGACCCGGCACAGAGTCCCGACAGAGCATGGTAGACCTGCCTCGATTAAAACCAGCACCTGTTCGGGGAATATGTCCGGTCGATGAGATGTAATTCCTCGGAAGCACAAATGGACTGGATTGCTGGACATGCTAACAGCTATGTAGGGAGCAAAGCACACGAGGCTTGCAAGATGAGCACAAGGCCGGCGTGTGTAACCTCCAAGCTGGATACAGGGGACTGTGTCGACATTTTAGCTCAACAAGTGACCAGGATGCTGGAGAGAATGGAAGGAGACGAGCTATGCTCGCTGTACCCTGTTTATAGGGCCAGGACCTGCCTAGGAGGCGGACGTACACAAAGCTCTTCAATGATTGGATAAGGGATGAGGATCAATCCAATAGGTGATGGCTTACAGGCTGGAGCTATACGAAATAGAACCATTGTTTCTAGTAGAAATTAAAACGTCCGTAACATTTTTACCGAATCGTTCAGTTAAAAAATCATTGACGTAGATATTATAGAACAATAACTGCGTTAAACGAGTCTTGACTTAAATGTTGTTCGTATTTATTGAGCGCTGAGCAGAAAAATGTTGCACTAGTGGCGCTTACATCGTAGTTTCGGTTCGGTCCGACCGGAATTTGGTTTCACACACAGGTCAGATTTACATTTTCGGTTCCGAGGTGACTCTTTTTCTCAGACCTGCTCTCCAGCAGCCAGACTGGGATCTAGGCAACACTACGGACTGACTGGCCGGCTGAAATTACGCCTCTGATCTGCGAGAAGATTGAGCCAGCAGGGGGGTTCCTGCATGCACGATTTATTTTCATGCTGGATGCTGTTGAGTAAACTTCTGTCTATAGCACGGAGCTGCCGTTCCAGAGCTGCTGATCAGTGGGAATGGGAAAAGAGTGAAGGTTGGTTTATGCTTGACGCGTTCGCGAGGTCCGCGCGGCGAAATTGCGTCATTTTAACAACCACGCCCCTCCACCGCGCTTCCGCACAGCGGGCTTGGTCCGCTTCACCTCATGGTCTTTCTCCTGTCTGCAGCTCTATGCCGGAGCCATCCTCGAGGTGTGTGGATGAAAACTGGGGAGGTTCCCTCAAGTCCAAGGTGAGTCTGGCAGGATTTAGGAGCCCACCTGCTTTACAGCAGCAGGTTGTCGCTGAGGGGTACGCTTCTTCCTGCATGTGGCCATCTGCTGAAGATGCCTCTGCTCTCTTTAGTTTGGAGACGTCTAGAGCTCTGTTAGGGATGCTTATCTCAGCTGTACCCATGCATGGGCGTCTTACCCGTGGGGGATGCAACACCCTCACTTTTCCAGCTGTTCTGCTCACCTCCACACCAGTCTGGTTTCTTTACGTCACACTCACTCTGTTCGCCTCATCTCCTTCTTCACCTCCGCTTCTGACAGCCGATGTCGGGTTTCCAGAGAGCAGGAGAGGGAGGGACGGAAGAGCTCGACTGAATTCATAATTTTACATCTTGACATTAGCTGTACAAAGTCTGAGTTTGATAAAGTGAAGAACAACCATTTGCAGAGGTTTATAACAGGCGCGGCGCCAGGTTTTCATTTTTGGGTGGGCCACGGTAATTCTGGACGGACCTTAATAAGCAGCGACTTAGTGAAGCAGGCAGGTCGCGCTAGAAAATTTAGTTTAAAGAGACGTCATAAACGTGTTCCCTCGTCATTTTAATTTATAAAATATGAAGTAAAAACTCCCAATTTAATTTTCATTCATTTGTCATTAATATTTAGTCTGATGGGAATCATTTCTTGATTGATTTAGTTACCTCTGCGATGTGCGTAACGATTAAAATGTCAGCTCATCAGTGTGCGTCGGGGTCATTCTTTCAAAACAACCAACATCCTTGAGTTTATCCGTCAAAATAAAAGTCTAATGGAAATATCTGTAAGCTGCCATTTAACTGTTTTGCCTTCTTGTGAAGATTGTTGCAAAGAGAAACAACTAAACCTGATTAACCCCAGAGCCACGCCCATGCGCTGTACTCCTGACTGTAAATGAGGGGGAGACGATTTAATCGGATCCTTTTCTTTTCAACATGGTTTCATGTAAAGTTTCATTCAGTACAAACTTTAGTTACACCGATCTAACGAGACAGAGCCTGGATTTGTATTCTGAACAGTTTCAACATGTTTAAACGGAGACACGCGTGACGCGTCTAAAATCTGCACCTGCTCCGCTATTATGGAAATTAAACTAACAAGATGAATAACATGAACTTATTTTAGGCACAGACAACATCCCCCACACTTTTGAACAACGCGCCTGTACCCATGTGCCTTAAGTCACCCTGCAGCTGCTCATTTGCTCCTCATCATGTCTCTCCACCTCCTGACCTCCATCTGTCTGCTCCCTTTTCCCTCAGCCTTTGTCAGGAGCGACAAGCCGAAGATGTTCAGGGGTCTTCAGATCAAGGTAGATGATTGTTAGATGAATTGTTTCTCATGAGCCAGAGTCGAGTCTAACCCCCCTCCGCTCTGCTGTTCTCCCAGTACGTCAGAGGCTCCGATCCTGTTCTAAAGCTGCTGGACGATAACGGGAACATCGCTGAGGAGCTCAGCATCCTCAAGTGGAACACCGACAGCGTGGAGGAGTTTCTGAGTGAGAAGTTAGACCGAATATAACAAGATCTTCTTTTTCTCTCGTCAGAAAGATGTGAAGGGGTTAAGGCTTCAGGAGAAGGAGCAAAGGTTTAGCTTTAGTCGTTTTTGTCCGCTGATCATTTGGTGATTTACAGATTTCTGCACCTGGGCCTTGGTAGATGTTTATGAAGTTACTGCTGCACATGACTAAAGCTCATGTGGACCGTAGCAACATGGTGGATCTCTAGGGTCTGTCCTTTATTCTCTTTATCATTATTATTATCCTCTAAATGACGCTCTGAGTTGTGACTAAAGGAATCCGAGTGAAAGAATCCCAGTTTTCCTTCGGACGCAGCGAGTTGTGCTGAAACACACGAGAGTGAAGACCTGACAGGAAACCAGACGTGGGATGTGAGGTCTGATGGGAATTTGTGTGTTTCCACATCTGCTGTGTGGAGCAGAAACTGGGTTTGTCCGTGATACGCAACAATAAACGAGATCTGTGGCTTTTCTTTCAACTTTGTCTCATTTGTTCTGTTAACACACACACACACACACACACACACACACACACACACACACACACACACACCACACACACACACACACACACACACACACACACACACACTCAGCAGGCGCTCCTGGTGGTTCGGCGACATCTAGTGGTCGTCAGTGGAAACTACAGCCCGGTGGTGTGGGTTAGGCCTTTCATCCGCACATGTGGCAGAGATGTGAAGTGAAGCTCTGTTAGGATGAGATCAACGTGGAGAACATCTGGATTTCTACTGAAACCTAACCTGTGACCTTCTACAAACTAAAACATCCAAAGCTGAGGCATCAGGCGGTAGAAGCCCTGTGGCTGGTGGGAGGTCTGCTAGAGGTTCCAGGGGCGCCTCTAGAACATTCTGATAGGGGTGGCCAGACGGTGCCAGAGGTCTTTGGGGCGTCGCACCAAACTGGTCCTAGTGGTAACTCTGGGAGAGTTTCGTCTGTGGTGATGTGTTGCATTGCTCCTTTCTTTTTTTTTTTATTTAAAAAAAACAGTATGGATCCAAAACAATTAAATTTTACCAACGCAAACATTTCAGAAAAATACATTTTTAGTTATTTAAAATGTTATTTCTAATATTTCAAAATGTTTTAGTTTAATTCTCCTGTTGCTGTGTTCCCAAAAACTATGGGGGGGGCTGGTGCCTATCTCCAGCGGTCAATGGGCAATCAGGCGGGGTACACCCTGGACAGAGAGCCAATCCATCGCAGGGCAACACAGACACACAGGGCAAACAATCATGCACACACACACACACACACACCCCTAAGGACAATTTAGACACACCAGTTAACCTAACAGTCATGATTTTGGACTGTGGGAGGAAGCCGGAGAACCCGGAGAGAACCCACGCATGCACAGGGAGAACATGCTAACTCCATGCAGAAAGATCCCAGGCTGGGAAGCGACATGTCTTCTGGGTGTTTAGCACCAGGTTGTTGTGGCTGCACCAGGACACCAGCCGTTCAGCCTCCATTCTGTAAGCGGACTCGTCCCCATCAGAGATGAGTCCGATGATGGTGGTGTCGTCGGCAAACTTAATTAGTTTGACAGACTCGTGCTTGGAGGTGCAGCTGTTGGTGTACAGGGAGAAGAGCAGAGTGGAAAGAACACAGCCCTGCGGTGAGCTGGTGCTGATGGTCCGAGACGTTCTTCCCCAGCCTGGCTTGTTGTTTCCTGTCTGTCAGGAAGTCACCGATCCACCTGCAGATGGGGTCAGGCACGTTCATCTGGGGCATTTTGTCCTGGAGGAGGTCTGACATGATTGTATTGAATGCAGAGCTGAAGTCCACGAACAAGATCCTGGCGTAGGTACCGGGGGAGTCCAGATGCTGCAGGATGAATTGTAGAGCCATGTTGATTGCGTCATCTACAGACCTGTTTGCTCTGTATGCAAACTGCAGGGGGTCCAGGAGGGGGCTGTGGGGGAGAACTAGGTGCTCAAATGACTTCATGACCACAGATGTCAGAGCCACAGGTCTGTAGTCATTTAGTCCAGTGATTCTTGGTTTCTTGGGGACAGGGACTATGGTGGAGATCTTGAAGCAGGCAGGCACATGAGATGCCTCCAGTGAGGAGTTGAAGATGCTCGTAAACACTGGGGGCAGCTCTTCAGCACAGTGCTTTAAGCCGGGCATACACTGTGTGACTTTTTCACTTTTTTGAGCCGATTTTCCACTCGTCCGAGAATCCACGAGATCGGGGCGAGTTTAGCGCCGAGCGGTCGTGTAGTGTACGGGGGTTACGAGAGGCGATTAACACCACGTGACCAGCTACCGATCAGCAGTCGTGAGCTCGCACGGACTTCTGGCGTGTTTGATATTTCGCTCGTCCCTCGTGAGGGTATCGCACTGTTGAAGCGGCGCTGCGAGCAGCTGCGACCCAAAAAGTACCAGAACCGCTCACGGCGCATGCGCAATCCTGCATCAACACCGCTCGCCCGCTATTTCCCTAATAACACACGCTGTTCATTTTTATTTCTACGTGTTTTTTTTTACTCACAAAGATTGTCAAGAAAGCGTGTTTGTCGTGTTCATGTCAAATTAAACTGATCACAAAACACAGATTTACTTTCTTTATTTCGTTTTCCTCATCCAACCCCCATAAATCCCTGCGTGTCCTCCTGCAGCACTCCCGAAGGACAACAGGCAAAACAAGACAAAAAGTCTGACGTGTTGAGTAAAAACTGCTATTTTTAGCATATTTTAGGTCCGACGTGTTGCTACCAGACGTACAGTGTGAGCACATGACTCGTGAGATCTGCCCTGCGAGCATGGACATAATCTTTACTTCAGAAGTGGGGGGGCACGGGGGGGGGGGGGGGGGGGGGATGGGGGGAATTATCTTTACAGTATGCTCTAATGGGAAACAGGCTTCAACACAAATGGTTGTTTTCCGCTTGGTCCTAGAGCTCAACCAGTGTCAATTTAATATAGAGTAATATTGTTTTTGGATGGTAAAAAGTGCAGGGGTCAAAACTTGACTTTGGAAAAAGTGGGGGGGACATGTCCCCCCTGTCCCCCCCCCCAAAATTACATCCATGCCTGCGAGGAAGTCGTACAGTTTAAGCTGAAGCTGAACGCTGCGAGTGAAAAAGTCGCACAGTGTCCGCCCGGCTTTAGAGTGGCAGGAGCCACGCCATCAGGGCCCGGGGCTTTTCGTGTGTTAAGAGACCTGAACTGCTTCTTTACATCTGCTCCATGAATGTGCAGGTTTGTGGTGGAGGTGTGTGATGAGAACACCTCATGAGTGGGGAGTGAGGGGGAGGGTGATGGCTCTGTAGAAGGGAGTGGCTGACCAGTGTCTCTATTGTTGGGGCTGGACAGGAGTGAGGCCTGCCTGATGGCTCATCAAACCGACAATAGAAATAGTTTAGGTTGTTTGCCAAGAGCAGATTATCGGTGGAGGCGGGGCTTCTGGGGTTGTAGTTGGTGACGTTCCTGAAACTTTTCCACACAGAGGTTGGGTCGTTTTCAGAGATTTGCTGCTGCATTTTGTCATGATGCTGGTGTTTGGCTTCGACCAATTCTTTGCTGAACCTGTATTTAGTGTCTCTGTGGGAGTCCTTGTCCCCCCTTTTAAATGCATCTCTCTTTTCTAACCACAGCTGTTTGAGTTTAGGGGTAAACCAGGCTTTGTCTTTGTTATAACTCACCCTGGTGTGTGATGGTACGATGCTGTCCTGACAGAAGTGGATGTAGGAGGTGACGGTATCTGTGAACTCATCTGTCTGAGGTGGCCTTCGTTACCTCCCAGTCTGTGGTCTCAAAGCATGCGCGAAGCTCATCTGCGGCGTCTGTGTTCTGCTGTCTTGTTGACTTCACAACAGGCTTGGAGAGTTTTAGCCTTTGTTTGTAAGCTGGGATCAGATGGATGGTCACGTGGTCAGAGAGTCCAAGTGCAGCGCACGCCACTGCATGACAGGCCATGTGTCAATGGGACAAAACAATGGGAGAAATTTTGTGTTTACAGTATAATATGGATAATTTACAAGCTAACTGTCAGGTAAACATACAACAAGCAGTAATATAACAACTTCCAGAAGTAGTGTGGGTTAGGGTTCTCCTCAGGTAAACAGCCTGTGATGCACTAGTCAGTCTAGTAGCACATGTCCACGAGTAGCACGGGTAGTTGGAACACTTATCGAACGATTCTCAGGTGGATTCAATCCTCTATCGGCAATCAAGGCTCACGCACGTCCGCAGGCAGCCCCTGTTAATCGATGCTAAATAAATGTTGTTTTTATTTATTGTTTATTTAACCAGGAAGGTTCCATCGAGATTAAAAACCTCGTTTTCAAGGGAGTCCTGGCCAAGAGGCAACAAAAGTTACAGTTACAAAAGTTACAGTTACACAGTTAAGTTAAAAGTTACAGAAGGCAGTTACAACACAGGGAACCGTCTCAAGGGCTCTCAGTCTGGTTTTAAATGTACTCAAGGAGATAAATGAGAACGGAAGGAAAGGACAGAGCGGTGGCGCTAATTCACCACGTCGTAGCTGCCAGCCACGACAAGAAAAAGGTGATGTCACTTGCCTCGTCCAATCATATTCACCAAGCGTCAGTAAACCTAGCAACTATGAGCAGGTTGGTTCTCCAGCATGTGTTACCATGGTGACTGGGAGGGGCTTCAGGCTAGCCACGTTCGTAACAATGGCGCCCCCAAGGGGTGGCCATGGACCAATTTGGTGTGCCGCCCCAAAAATGTATTTTGCCCCAACTGGCCACCCCTATCAAAATTTTCTGGAGGCGCCCCTGGTTCGTAAAACAGATTGGTGGTGGTGGTGGTGGTGGTGGGGGGGGGGGGGGGGGGGGGTAAATCGGGAATCTCACAAGAGAGCCTGGTTCTGGAAAATCCTCACTTTGTGGAATAGTCCCTGGAGGCAGAAATGGCAGGTCAGGTAAGAAAAGCCGCTTTAATGAATAATGGCGGGTAGGATGACACAAACCGGGGCAACATGACCCGGTGAAGACACGAGGATGGGTAGGTTAGCAAGGGGCAGGGGGGTGGGTCTAATATTTCTGAAGGGGGCGAGGAGCGGGGAGAGGTAAACTCACAGAGCAGGAGGAGGTGAGGAGGGTGAGGACATGAGGTAAAGCAGCATTTGACCAATATTCTCAAAGGAAGAGTGTGGATGTGCTTTATAAGTTCTACAGATGTGATTATCTGAGCTTTTCTAAGTTGTTTACCTGTAAATGTGTAAACATTTTACACAGTTTATTTGTGTTACTTAAATACATTTCTTGCACTCTGTTCCGTGTTGGAGTCAGAAGTTATTTTAAAAGATTCTGCAACGTTTTCATACTTTAATAGATTTTCTTGAGCCAGTTTGCGCTGAAATGAGCCTTTATGAAGTCCCCCCCCCACCCCCACCCCACCCCTCTGTAGCCTGGATATCACACTCACAGCGTCAGTGAGCTGACATACCCGGTGCTGCAGCCTCCCTCCAGCAGCTCTGCTGCATGTTTTACAAGAACACATCAGATATGTTGTTTAGTGACGATGAGTCCCTTCTGTAGTACGGCTGGGGAGACTTTCACTGGTCTCATTTGAAATAACAAAACGTTGCTTTAATGTAAGTTTGAACACATTTTACATCATTTCTGGTGACAAATTAATTTAAAAAACAAAAACATGCGAGGAGCCGTTTCATTCTAGTGAGCCGAACCGTACGAACCGGTTCTCTTAAAAGAGCCGGAGTTGCCAGGAGGTTATGGGTTAAAGTCCACACCACCGTGTTAACAGAAATAAAACATTTACTTTAATAAACACACATGAACTAATGAACAGACTCATAAGACCAGATCATTAAAACCTGCGTGATGACGCGGGTCTGATGCGTCTCAGCCGTGATAAGCAAAGAAAATATAAAGTTCAGTTCATCATTAAAGGGTTCCTGATTTTGACAGAATTATTACTGTTATTGCTTCTGCTGCGGTTGTTTTCCGGTTAGGTGTAAACATTTACAGAAGGAAAAATAATGTTTGAACTCCGAGGTTCTGGTCCAGCTCTCCTCCTGGAGGCTCCTGCTCCGGAGCTATGAGTCCAGGCCGCCCTGCATCCCTCCGGGGAGCAGGATGTAGGCCACCTGAGGCTGCAAGGACGCAGCGGTCCAGGTGCTGCAGCTGCACGGCACCACGTATCCTGGCCCAGAAACAGACGGCTGGTGTCCGGTGCAAGCCGAACCCCCGAACCCCGCGGACTGATATCCATATGTGTGCGCGCTGTAGGGGAGCGCGCCCGCGGCTAGCGCGTACGGCACGTCCGCTGTCCGCTGGACTGCTCCGGTACTGACCTGTGGCTCGAGCAGCGAGAAGTACGACGAGGAGGAAGAGGAGGAGTGAGCGAGGGGCGGTCTGGAGTTGTCCCCAGACAGGAGGTAGGAGTCCAAGGGGAAGCCCTTCAGGCGCTCCGCCTCCTCTCCATACAACACCGGCAGCGGGAAAACGAAACGGTTCCGCTTGAGAGGGCTTCTGGGTTTGCGCCGGGGTCTGTACTTGTAGTCCGGGTGCTCTCTCATGTGCTGAGTCCGCAGCCTCTTGGCCTCGTCGATGAACGGCCGCTTCTCGGAGTCAGAGAGCATCTTCCAGTCTGCGCCCAGCCTCTTACTGATCTCCGAGTTGTGCATCTTGGGATTCTCCCGGGCCATTTCCCTCCGTTGGCCCCTGGACCAAACCATGAATGCGTTCATGGGTCTCTTGATGTGTTCCAAAGGTTTGACCATTTCAGAAACTACCGACTTAATTACCAAAACAACCTAGGCCCCCAGAAGGCTCGTGCTCTCTTCGTGCGTAAAACTGGCACGTCTCCAAGATGTTGTTTGGAGAATGAAGAAGCCGCGAGAGCGCACAAGTCCAAACTGGCTGAAGCTTTTCAGCAGAAGTGAAAACAACATGCAGCTAAAGCCCGAACGATGCATGACTGGTGCCCCACGGAATCAAGTGGATTAGGCGGAGCATGTCATCCACTCATCACCTCTCCACAGACACAGAGGGCCGCGCCAATGAAGAGCAGCGCGCGCACTGTAATCCCTTTAAAACAGGAAGCGTGACTGTGGGCCAGAGTTGTGCAGGAGCAGGCTTCAGGGATCAGACTAATGCAGTTTCTCACCAGGGTGGTTCTGTAAAACTGTCATCAACTCAAGAGTGGAGCGGCAACAGCTGATCACGTTTAGCTTATAATTATAATAAGGCTAATAATAATCATAATAATAATAACAATAATTATAATATTAATAATAATAATTATTATTATATTAATAACAATACGATTATCATAATAGTAATAATAAAGACAACAACAATAATAAAACTTAATAGTAATATTATTGATGATTATAATGATCATAATAATAATGATCATAATAGTAATAATAAAGACAACAACAATAATAAAACTTAATAGTAATATTATTGATGATAATAATAATAATAATCCTAATATTAATAATAAAGACAACAACAATAATAAAACTTAATAGTAATATTATTGATGATTATAATAATAATAATAATAATAATAATAATAATCATAATAGTAATAATAAAAACAACAACAATAATAAAACTTAATAGTAATATTATTGATGATAATAATAATAATAATAGTAATAATAAAGACAACAACAATAATAAAACTTAATAGTAATATTATTGATGATAATAATAATAATAATAAAGACAACAACAATAATACAACTTAATAGTAATATTATTGATGATAATAATAATAATAGTAATAATAATAATAATCATAATAGTAATAATAAAGACAACAACAATAATAAAACTTAATAGTAATATTATTGATGATAATAATAATAATAGTAATAATAAAGACAACAACAATAATAAAACTTAATAGTAATATTATTGATGATAATAATAATAATAATAAAGACAACAATAATAAAACTTAATAGTAATATTATTGATGATAATAATAATAATAGTAATAATAAAGACAACAACAATAATAAAACTTAATAGTAATATTGATGATTATAATAATAATAAAGACAACATCAACAATAATACTATTAATAGTAATATTATTGATGATGATGATAATAATAATGTTAAGTATAATGTGTATGCTCTCATTTATGAGGCCAGAACAGTCTCAATAAGAATTAAGTCACACAACGTTTTCCACAAATGCACACGCTCATTCGGAAATTCACACTCTTTGACTCATAAATATAATGTGAAAAAATAAGTCACGCAACATTTTCCACAAATGCACATGCTAATTCTGAAGTTCACACTCTGTGGTTCACAAATATAATTTGTAAGAACACTTGTAATATAAACTCAGATCGTACGAATTGCTGAACGTGCATTTACGAACAGCTTCTCATTTGTGAACCTTTCCGCGTTTGTGAGTGAAATCTGTGTGGTGCATTCGCGAACAGCTTCTCATTTGTGAACCTTCCTGCATTCGTGAGAGAAATCGGTGTGCTGAATTTTGAGACTCTCCTAACGTCGCAGGTCAACAAACGTCACCATTGGCTAATGAACCTGTCAATCAAATATATGCTTCTGCCAGGGCTGTTCGCTTTCAGCCAATGGCTCCTTATGTTACAGAACAGATCTGCTGTGCGCATAAGTCGGACACAATTTCCTGCATGTGTAGCTCGGGGGTGACGATGGATGAAGATATCGCGTTAGCGTTCATACTTGTTCAATTTTCAATTTTAATTCTGGTGCCTGTTAGCAGCTGAAACACATCCTCACATGCTTGTGGATATCATATATTGTATATGGAGACATGAGTGTAATAATAAGTAAAGGTTAGCAGCTGTAGCTTCAGTGTGCTCATAGGAAACATGACAAAAGAACACAAATCACATTTCTCTTTATGGCCTATATAGTTGTCATCATCAACGTTACATGATTTACAGAATACATGTGACCAACTAACATTTCATGTTCTACCACCAGATGATTGGATCAAAATATGAACCAATCAGATCTTAGATCAGGTGAGAGCCAGGCGTTTCCCGTCATCCCCTAGGTTTAGCAGCCGAGGGAGAGCAACTGCAGCGCCTTGCTCCAAAATCTGCGGCCGCCTTGATCTCAAGTGGTTATCGTTGCCTACGTATGCATGACGTCAGAGCAAGTCGGCATCAAGTCGGACACAAATCTAACCGGTTACATTACCAACGCTCCACCATATGGGTGGCCTCTTAATAATCTTATTCAGAAAAATTATGCATTTTTACTAAGTGAAAGCAAACCCCGTTAGGGGCAGAGACCTCTTGAAGCTCATATTAAACATTGTTTGCAGAGAAGGTAAGAGAAGCTAGTAAATCATCCGGCCTATTCCATGGGAGTGACTCTGAAAAGGAGCAAAAGCTCCAGCTCTTTATCTTGGCAGGTGTCTCTATTCTCCTGTGTTCAGGCTTTTGGTTACATCAGTTACTTTTCCTTTTAATGAGCTGCATATATTTCTAACACAGCCTTCAGTGACATCAAGAAAAAAAATAACTTTTTAACTCTAAAAGACATTATTCTCATTCTGAGAACAAATGAACAAACTGTGTGTGGGTATATGTGTGTCCAGTTGCAACTTAACACAGACTCAGAAGCATAGAGAATCTTCTCACAACACCTAATCATCCCTTGATCAAAAAACCAGTAGATAGAATCTTGTCATGTTATTCCATTTAATAAGTAGACGGACGGAGGTATAGTACAAGTTTTCAAGTGTAATGAAGATGATCGCAGGGTAACACAGTTCCCCTTAAATGTTGAGCAAAAGTTATGAAACGAGACAAAATTCAAACAATAACACGTAAAAATAAATGGATCTCCTGATAAGTAGGTGCTTCACCTTTAAATGTTTTTATTAGAGCTGGATACACAGGAAGATGCATGTTACTAAACCAACACTAGCAATGATAGCACATTTACATTTTGAAGAATTGTAGCATAGATGAAGTGAACAGCAGCCTTTTCAAATACATTCCTGGTCTAAAATAAATCAGGCTGACAAAGACTTTAAGGAAATACACAACTATAAATGAATTTAGACATCTATTTTGGGGTCTATCCTTTAGCATTTCATATTTACGACGGCAAATCCCTTGAATAACAATATACAGAATATTAACCTTAAAATGGACCACTCCTTCACTTTTAACTTTCTTCCTTCCTGTCTCATTAATTATTTTTCTTTCTTCCTAACTCCCTGCCTTCTCTCTCCTTCCTTCTTCACACATGTAATCATCTAGCCTCAAGTAAGTTCTCAACATACTGGACAGTGTGAAGATGTGTCCACTCCCAAAAGAGTCTGAATGTTGCAACGGATTAATGCTGTCCTGCAGTTCCAACATTTCATGATCTGAAAGAGGACTGTCCAGTAGAGGGACACTGATCCCAGGATGAGGTTAAGTCATGTATCCGTTCTCCTCCCATTCAATCTCTGGTGTCGGTATACCCTGGAAAAAGAAAGTGTGTATGAGCATTGTGCATAATGAATCTCAAGAAAACACATTTAATACAAGCCCTATCATGACCTTTTAACAATTACTTAACATCAATGATGTCAGGCAGAACCTAGCATCTCCATTATTTCATAAATTATTATTATTTTTTTAATTAATGGGCTACTTTTATGTTAAAACAGCAGTGAGAATATCACATCTGGAAGGTCTAATGCCTTGCATTTTGAACTTGCAGATGCGTCATGACTTTGTAATGTCATGACATTATAGTTGACAGTGTCCACTTCAGTAGAGGTGCACACAAACAGAACCGTAATTTCAACAGCCATTTTGTCTTGAATCCAAGAAGCATAGAGCAGAGGTAGATTATCAAAGTGTTGAACATTTGATTTATAGTTAAGGATCAACTTGACATGTGATCAATCATTTTAACAGAACATACATTTGCCCCTGGATCAGAAACAGGATTCAGAGCCTGGCCCAGATGCCACAGCTGATTTGGTGTCATGTTTTCCTCTGTCCTGATTGGATGGTTGTCCCACGCATCTCTAAAGACATCCAGGCTGGCCTGGATGCGAGACAAGAAAATATAGTGGCAACAAAACATGTGAAGGATGTTACTGATGTCGAGCAAGTCTTGGTCTTCCAGAGAGTGCAGGATGTTGTAATATAGACCAGTAACACTCATGAAGACATCACGCCACAGGCGCTCGATCCTGGATTTGGAGGGGGATTAAATAAAAGAAAATTATAATATACACACAAATTTACATGTCCATACATCCGTTTTCAACTTGAGTTATCTTTTGAATGGTCGCAGGAGGACTGGTGCCTATCTCTAGCAGTCACAGTGTGAGACGAAGGGTACACCCTGGGCACGTCAACAGGCACAGGCACGCGCGCACAGACACAAAGCTTCCAAATTAGGTTAAACTCACCGTTGATTGTGTACACTTTTTCCTGCAATGAAGCTGTTGGTGTCAGTTCCACGAACTGAGAACATTAATTCTGCAACACCTACATTTTCTCCGCCATGATCTCCTCTCACCATGAAAAAAAAAAAACATTAGAATCTTGCTTCAAACATTTTTAATGCACATCTATAACAATCTACATCAATTTGAGTCTCACAGAAATTTCCTTATGTACCTTGCTACTAAGTGAGTAAACAATGTGGCATTATTAACCCTCTGCTGGGGAAATTTTTTTTGAAAGAGGGAAATGTTCACCCCCCCCCCCCCCCCCCCCCCCCCCCCATAGATTTTACTATATGACCTCAAATGGCATGTTATCTTTGGTCAATAACACACTTTAGGCAAAAGCAGATTTGAACAGGGTAACAGAGGGTAAAGTTGAGAAT